CTACAACTGATGCAACATCTTCAACTACTTCTGCAACAACAACTTCAACCACAACTGATACAACAACTACAACTACCACAAAAACAACAACCCATACAACAACCGATACAACAACCACAACTACCACAGAAACAACAACTTCAACCACAACTGATACAACAACTACAACATCCACTGCAACAACAACTTCAACGACAACTGATACAACAACTACCAGTACAACTGCAACAACAATTTTAACATCAACTGACACAACAACTTCTACTACCACAGAAACAACAACTTCAACCACAACTGATACTTCAATCACAACTACCTTGGAAACAACAACTTCAACCACAACTGATACAACAACTTCAACTTCCACTGCAACAACCACTTCAACTAAAACTGATACAACAACTACAACTACCACTGAAACTACAACTTCAACCACAACTGATACAATAACTACAACTACCACAGAAACTACAACTTCAACTACAACATATATATCAACCACAACTACCACAGAAACAACAACTTCAACCACAACTGATGCAACAACTACAACTTCTACTGCAACAACAACTTCAACCACAACTGATACAACATCTACCAGTACAACTGCAACAACAACTGACACAACAACTGACACAACAACTTCAACTACCACAGAAACAACAACGTTAACCACAACTGATACCACAACTACAATTACCACAGAATCAACAACTTCAAACCCAACTGATACAACAACTTTCAGTACAACTGCTACAACATTTTCAACCACAACTGATACAACAACTACCAGTACAACTGCAACAACTTCAATCACAACTGATACAACTACTACAGCTTCCTCAGAAACAACAATTTCTTCCACAACTGATATAACAACTTTCAGTACAACTGCTTCAACAATTTCAACCACAACTTATACAACAACTACAACTATCACAGAAACAACATCTTCATCCACAACTGATACAACAACTACAACTACAGCTATCACTGCAACAACAATTTCAACCACAACTGATACAACAACACTTTGAACTACAACTGATAAAATTAATTTCGAAATTAAAATTTGCTTTGATTATTTTTTTTTTTTATAACTTTCTTTATATGAAATTTAATCTGCCGGTCTGATTCTCAACTTTATCAATTGTTTCTTTTTTTTTATTGTTTTTTAATAGTTATAAATTCATAACTTTATAAATGACTTTATTATATTACTAATACACATATTAAGCATTGTACATCTGTATTTGCTGTATTTGTACCACGTTTTTTAGGCCCTGCATTGCTTTCTTTTATTGTATAATCCACTGCATGAATGCGCTTTTAAAATTTACTCCGGTCTCAAGGTTATATCTGTTTGGTACGTCACCTGAATATTCACCTTTTGTCATTTGATAATTATTTTTTAATATTTGTATTTAAATATATATTTAAATACATCTAAATTTTTATTAATCTTTTTTCGGCATTGCTTTGCCATCTTCGATGTCCGATTTGATACGTTGTGTATGTGGCAAGATACTCAAATATCTTTCAGTTCAGGATTAACCATTAGGCAAACAAGGCACGTGCCTTAGGGCTAAAAAGTAGACTAGGATCACAAAAAGTTGACTTAGGGAAGAGTTATAATTAGTAGCATTTTCTCGACAGAGATAGAAGTTAGTTTTGACTTCTTATTCTATGCAAACAAGCAAACATGTGTCAGTGTTATTTTAAATATAAATGACAGCAAACATGTATTTTTACTCATATTTTTAAATCCGTAGGTACTGCAACAGTTATCCTATCACTCATTGTATTTTATTATTTAAGACTGGAGTATTTTATTATTTAGGAATCTTTGCTACTTTTAGTTGACCTTAGATTAGAACTATAATATATACTATCCAGCCAAGCAAAATATGCATCAAATTTCAAGTACAATAGGCGTACGCTACGCAAATTTAAATTAAAATTAATTACTCTCAATTCACTTCTGTGTTTCTCTGTTTACTGTATCATTATTATTTAGGCATATTAACTGCTTGAAAGTACCTGGAAGGTTTAAATTTTAATCTGATTTAAAATTTAAATTTTTATTTGATATGTTATTAAAATTATTATATTTATGGAATTATTTATATTTCTGATTTATAAAACAGAATTTTCATACATTAATTTCATTCTCAGCTTTTTAAGTTAGAACTTCTTAGTTGAAATTATTATCACAAAATTACTTATTTACCTTTTTTAATTTGGAAAATTAAAAAACTCCTCGATACAGTATATTTATTTTTTTGGAGGTCAAATAAAATATTGTATTGTATTGTAATATATTTTCAGACCATTTATAAAATGTGCCTTAGGGCCAACAGAGCTTTAATCCGGCTCTTCTTCGTTTTTTGGTCATCTCTTGTGATGAAAAAATAACTGAATTGATAATGGATTCTAGCCATTTAATATATTTGTTCAAATGTAATATCAGTGAGTGTGGCGCCATAATTTCAAATTTATTGGTATGACGACGACCAAGTTATAGAGAAGACTCACGATGCACGTACAAACCACAGAATTCTAGATAATAACACTTATCATAACAGCATCTAGATAATACAAGTTTTCACAATGACGACCAAATTATGGATAAAAACAAAAAAGTTCACTCACGTTTCAGAAGCGTGCCTGACAAAGCTTTGGGAGATATATCCAACGCAATCGTTGGAAGAAATCGACTAAAGAATGTATACTCTTTGAATGACAATGTCATAAACAGTGGTTCTAAAAATTGTTCTGTCAATAACATCAACTACAACATTGACAACAACAACAACAACAACAATGTCAACAACTACTATGTTGTCAACAATATTAGCATCGGGACAATTAACTTGGATGGCAACAACACCACGAACAACACTTCGGAAAACACGTCTGATAGCAGCGGTCTCAAAAGCATCGCATTTGACCATCACTACGCCAGTAAGAACGCAACCTGCAACGAAGAAGTTAGCATGGAAAATAACGCCAACAACGAAACTTCAATTTGGTCTGCTAATAGTAATACAAGTACATTAACAAATGTTACTGTTATCCGTAATATCAGCGAAATATGTGACAACAAAATGGTTGACATCAACAACGACGTGATAAAAAATAAAAATACAAACAACGAAAGCAAGATCAAGAAAATAAATAAGAATATAACCGAGAAAAACAAAACCAACAGTTCGAACATTAACAAAATCAACGAAAACGCACCACCAACTGACGTAATTGGCAACAAAACCGACATCCAAAAGAAAAACACCGCAAACTGTGCAAACAGCACAGAGAATAATGTGAACATAAAACTTAGCGAATGTTTCTTAAACAGCACGATAATTTCTTCAGACGATGATAGGACGTTCGGCTTGTGGAACGTGTCATCTAACGAATCAAAAAGAATGGAAAATGACAATGACGGCGAACATGGGATGAAGTTGATGAGGATGAATGCATTCGTTCGAGATAGAATGAAAATAATGGCATTAAAAAATAAATATATGGATCAACACGAGGTTATCCCTCAAAGCAACTATCGCCAACATCAACAGCTCCAGTTGCAACATTACAGAATCTATCCTAATCAACTGTACTACCAACACCAGCTACAACCTTTCCATCAGTTGTCTCAAAAATATTATCAATTTTGTCAAAATGACAATGCCATTAATGCAGGAATCTGTCACCAATATGGAGCGAAAAATAAACCAGATTATGTTCCCAATGGCGTCAACAGTTGTAACAACGCAAATGCTATGAAACGAAACGAAAATTTAGAAAGAAACTGCAATCCCAAATTCAATGTAGTGACAGCCTGCAATGGACTAAAGAATCATCGCTCAAAACACAATAGGTCTCAATCAATTGATAGCAACTTGCAAACTTTCAAGAGGAACTTCAACTTAATGAACATCGTCAGAAACATGAATAATCTCAACAAAAACCACGTAAATCATAAAGTGAATGTTAACCATGGCAACGCCAACGAAAATACAAAAAAATTTGCATATAATAAAGTTAACCATAAAACCAGTCAGGAAAACTTTACCGACGGCCAGCCAGCAAACAAAGGCATCAACAGCCCAACGAAAACAGTAATACGAACCAAGAAGATATCAAAGGACGTCCAACGCGTCTGCAAGTTTCTTAGAAACGGCGGGAAACATCAGAGCATCTGCTTGTCGCAATTAGGAGATGTTTAAGATGCTTTACCACTTAAAACCATTAAAAAAAAACAAAAATTTGCAAACTTTTATAAAAGGATGTTTGAATTTGTATCGGTGTGTAAATAAATGTAAAAATTGTTTAACAAACCTTACAATTTATTTATTCTGTAAAATGCATTTTATTCCAATATTTAAAACCTTACCTTTTTTCAAGTAAATGATCATGAATAAAAATATTAAAAAACAATTCAATCGTCTTTTTATAAATGAATTAAACTCAAAAACCGTTCATATTTTATTACTTAGTTTTCAATACAAGAAATTGTGAAAACTTTACAAAAAAAACTTAATATGATTTATTTATAGCACAATTTTAACAATTTATTTTTTAAATTTAGTAATGTTAGCTCCAGTCAAAGCCCAATGCTAGTAAGTATAACTTATAAATGGGCAATAAAATCAAAATTTAGGATTTACTTTTCATCTTGAAATTGGGACAAACTTCATCGGATTGAGACTTAATTATTCACGTTTTGAAATATCAACGAGATAAAAAAAAACAAGTAGTTTAAAAAATGAAATGTGAGACTTTTCAATAAATTTTCAATTTTTGCTCTTTATCTTTTGCGACCACCGACCTCCACAAAACCCGATCTTTAAGACTTTGTAATAGTTGAAATGTGGTGTTATTCAAAAAGTGAAACAAGGTTACCATTTATTTTTGTGGATTGATGTCTTGATATAGTTTGATCGGATTCTTCCTTTTCGACTGTGATTGATTTTGAAGATGTAATAATAATAACTAAATAATTATAAAAAAAAAATAAATAAAATAAAAATTAAGAAAAAAATATTAAAATTACTGGCACATTATAGCACCATCTTGGAAGCTGCAGTGCCGTTAAAATCTTCAAAAAAAAGATCCGTTGTTGTTGATTGTTTTTTTGTCTAATGTATTGGTGTTGTTGGTTGTGTTGTTTTTGTTGACGCTACTAATGTTTAGCTCTCCCTGCTTGTTGTCAAGTAGGTACCTAATGTTTTGGCTAATAAAATTCTTATTTTTATTTCCCAATTTATCACCATGTGTTGGTTTTGATGCTTGTAGTGTTTTTACAGACGTTGTTGTTATAGTGATTATTTTTGTTGTATTCAGGTAGATACCTAATGATAAAATTAAATTAAATTATAATTTTTCCTTATCATGTTAAGTTAATTAATAACTTTCAAGCTTTCATGACTATAAACTTTAAAAATTCTTAGCTTATGTAAAATTTACGACTTTTCCACTTTGGGAAACTTTACACATTGACTTTTTTTACGACCGTAAAATTCAAACGCCAAAAATCTTTGATATTTCACTCTTCGTTTGTTCAGTCGCAGAAACAACATTTTTCATTTATTTTCACACATTTTATCATATCTTTACCTTATCTTTGTCATCAACATCATCATCATCGACACTAACATTCTCTTTTTTCAGGTCATCCTCATTACCATCGTCATCATCATCATGTATTATGTCATCAGGAATGCTTTATCATTTCAAATTTGGCGCATTAATATTCAGTGTCTACGAAAGCCAAAGGATCATAAAATGATAACTGATGAAATCTCATATGTTTTACTGCGTAGAATAATTAACAACGTTTATCTAAATTGGAATCGATAGTGCGAGTGCATTTGCGAAAAATATTAAAAATGAATTCGAGGAGGGTGGGCTACTTTGACGGTGCCTCGGGCCTACTATGACCTTGAAACAACCCTCAACTGAATTTCATTTATTAGTACATCTATTGAGCTACAGTAATAGGCTGAACATTCTCTGTTGGAGGTGCCTTCCTAATGTTCGAATTGCAGTGTTTTCATATTTTGGATTTTTCAATAAATTTATCGTCATGTTTATATTTAACAACAAAGTTGATTTAACAAGATAATACCAAATTTTAATTTGTAAACTATATGTTACACTACCTGTCAAAACTATCAATACAAGTAGAAATATTCTGTAATTCTTCCTTTCAATTACAGAATTGAGATTATATATTAAGTAAAAGTGAAAATAAATGTGACTCAGTTACTCAAGTACCTACCATGTTAAGTACATACCGGTTTGGTATGGTGGAGAGAGAACATCTTTAAATTTAATTTGGACGTGATGATGTCTTACGAGAAAACCTTCCAATGAAAATACTTCTTCCACCCTTTCTTGTTTTTTACATTATTTTAATTTTATTATTTGAAAATTTTTTGAAATGATTGAATTTTTAGCAAAAGCCGCCAAGTGATGCTGGTTGTGGGAAGAGCCTTTAATTAAGCCAATCGACATCAAACATGTAACATCAACAGTAACAAATTGAATCAGCAGCAGCATCAGCAACAACAATAACCAGAAAAAGCATACATATAGCTCGTTTCCTACGTTATGACCGATGATTACAAATGGCCAACAATGTACTAGCCTAGCAAGTTATCGCTCGACTTGGTTACAAAAATGTTTGAATGAGAAACTGTTAGTCAGGTTTATGTTGCATGTTAAACATTTGAATGTTAAATTTAGAAACAGTTATGTTTTGCTAAGAGAGATTGAATATATGATTAAAATAAGAATGATGACGAAGATGCTAATGATGTTAAAACTATAAATGTTACTAATGAATAGAAACGACGAAACCATTACTAATAATATCTTGTAATCTTTTATTGATGTAAAAACATTTCAAATCAGCAGTTGCTGTCTGTTAAACAAAATGTCGAAGCTATAAAATATACGTAGCATGTAATTTTTTTTACAAACAATGGTCAAACACATTTGAAACAAATCAGTTGATCAGTTTTAAGATAATATTTAATCATTGACAATTAGTTTAACATCAAAAATTGTTAATTTGAAAAATTAAATTATAATACACAGCAGTTTCATGACCATCTCATCTCTAAAACAAAAATGCTCATACTCTCACAATACCGGGGTTGATGACTTCATCCGGGATAACGATGGGAGGGCCCCAAGGTTTCGAGTCAACGGGTAAGTAGGTGTCAAATCTTATGGTTGGGATCTTGTAAAGAATCTTCCCAGTAAAAAATTGATCAAACTTGATTTTGAAGGTCTGAAAAACATCAACATAGTTTTTGTTACAAGTATTAACTGATGAACAAATGATAAAATAAAAAAAAACTTGGTTATATATGAAAAAAAAGTTAATCAGAACATTGGCGTCCCAACGAACTGCATCAAGTAATTATATAAATTGAACATATATCAACAAAAACGAAATGAAACCGAAATCTGACCGGTGCAGCGTTTGACAGAGCAAAGCAGCACAAGACTGCAACCAAGATTACGGACAAAGAAAACTTCATCTTCTTCTTCAACTTGAAAATTACTTCAAAATGATGAACTTCTCAGCCTGCTTAAGCAATCAATCTTTCTTTGTCCAACAGCATTAAGTAGCGCGTTTTTATAGATGAAAAATTTATACCCGCATATACAGACATTTAGATAAGGATGTTTATATTAATATATGAATATAATTATATATATATATATATATATATACATATAATAAATATGAAAAACAAATCCTGGTAACAATCCTCTAGAAGATTTAAAAGGGGATTTTTCGATGTTTTCAATGATTGTCAGCTAGCCAATTGCGTCATTCAATTCTCTCACGACGCAGTTGAGCAGCAGGTATTCTTCTGCTTATTTTAATCTTTTTCTTTGCATAACTATTATTCTTGTTCTCATTTTTATTTTATTATTTTTATTACTATTCTTATTTTTTTTATTAGCAGCGATAGTAGTAGTTGAGCAGTAGCAGCAGTAATTGCAGTTGAAGTAACAGTAGTATTTGAGTAATAGTTATAATAATAATAATAATAATAATAATAATAATAATAATAATAATAATAATAATAATAATAATAATAATAATAATAACAATAGAAATAATAGTAGAGATAGCAGTAACAGCAGCTGCAGTAGTAGTAGTGGGGGTGGTAGATGCAGTGGTATTATTATTATTTATTATTCATTATTATTATTATTATTATTATTATTATTATTATTATTATTATTATTATTAGAAGTGATAGCAGTAATAGTAGTAATTGCGATTGAATCGTGCAAGCCGTAGGCAGAGGAAATGAATCATCATCAGCGAGAATAACTTTCTTTTTGATCTATCACCTCACTGGCAGTTACTAACACACAAAATTCTCTCTCTCTCTCTCTCTCTCTCTCTCTCTCTCTCATTGGATGGCTGAACGGAAAAGGAAGTCTAATTTTTAAATGCCTATTTTACTATTGCTTATATTCCACAATTTCATCACAATTTGTCGTTAATGATATTTTTATTTTTCCTATTAAGTATCATTATGCTTTATATTATATTAATACCTGTCACGACTGTAACATTCTGCAATGACATGACTAAAACATAAACATAAAGGCAAATTTGTTTAAATTACGAAAATTTCTGTATATTATGCCTAGAATTAAAATTGCTTTGTTAATTGATTCATATATTTGAGATGTAAATTTCAATTTACTATCAAATAAATCCCCAAATCCCGTACTTCTTCCTTGCTTTCTAAATACTTATTTTGAATATTGTAACCCATGCCCAAATCTACGTTACCCCCTGGTCTCATAACAACACATTTATCTATGTTAATACTAACATTCCAAACATTACACCAATCAACAATTCTGCCTAAAAATCTCTGCAAGCTAATCACATCCTCTTCTTTCTTTATAGGTTTAAACACTTTAGCATCATCTACATAAAGAAACAGATTTATATCATTGTCTCCATCGCAAACACTGAACATATCGTTAACATAAACAATGAAAAGCGTAAGGCCAAGAACACTCCCCTGTGGAACACCACTGGTAATCTGATATTTTTCTGACAGACAATCTTCTACTTTTACCGAAAAAGTTCTATTTTTTAAATAATTTTGTATCCATCTAATCAGCCCATTACTGACACGTCGCCAACTTTTTAATAAGCATCTTGTTTCGGCTATTTAAC